TATCTTGGGTCTATTGTTCAAAATGATAGTGATATTGATGGGGATGTTATTAGCAGAATTCAGGTTGGTTGGTTGAAGCTTAGGAATGCTCCGGGCCTATTGTGTGATAGAAAAGTACGGTGAAAAGTAACGCTTAGATTGAAAGGAAAATTTTATTAGATGTGGTGAGACGTGCAATGCTCTATGGCGCTGAATGTTGGCCTTTAAAAGAGAAGCATAAAACTGCGTCAGTGTTGCCAAGATGAGAATGATTAGGTGGATGAGTAACTTTACACTTAGAGACAAAATACGAAATAAATACGAAATAAATATATCCATGATTCCATGATAGGGTTGGTGTAGCTCCCGTGACAGACAAAATTTGAGAGAGCCGTCTTAGATGTTTGTCAGTCAACTTTTTGATGATTTAAAAATTTAATTTAGATATAAGTTATATAGTTTAGATTATGAAAATAGTGTTTTAATTTTTTAAAAAATAAGACCGAATGGATCTCATTAGTCCAATAATTTGCATAATCGTGCCTGACATCCTGAATACTACACATTTCAAGAGAAAAGTGTAGACCCCGGTAATATACCCAATCCTGCAAATTAAGAAATTTGTGACATCCATTTGGTCTGCGAACCTTTTGTATATGACCGACAAATTCCCCTATTTAATATAAAGATTAAATATGATTTATTTTACCTGAGTTCTAAGTTTCCTATAGCGGCAATCCCCTATAGTTAATTACATCCTAAGTGAGAAAACTCTTGATAATGATCAGTGGTTCTAGTTTTCAAGAATTCAAAGTTCAGGTTTTCAAGATAGGACGCGAAAAAACAAGTGAGAATGACTCAAGTAAAAACAATCATTTCAGGAGTCCAAAGGAAGTAAAGGGTAGGAGATCATCCAGAGGGGAATCCTTAGTGACCTCCCAAACTATTCTACTGTATTACTATGTTTTAGAGGATTTTATTTGAATGTTGAATCTCGTCAATTTTATTATTTGGGACTTACATTTGCATAATAACTGAATATGCAAAGAGCCCGCATGGGTAAGAGCTTTACGTCGTTCTGGGCGACAACCTCGAAACCTAAGGCGAGTTAGGACTTACGCTACACAACATGGTTGTGCAATGACCTAAAAGAGGGTGAGAAATTACGTTGCGCTAGACGAGCTACTTCGAAGTCCTATGAGTTGTTAAAACTAAGAAAATTTAACTGATTAAGACTTGTTTTGCAGTTGTAGAATGACGACCACCTCCACTTATAGTCTGCTCCAAACTCATTGTCGCGCTGCCCACGAAGTTGCTCTAAATTCCTTGTCGACGCAGCAGTCCTAAAGTTTAAGGTTCAAAAGGTTGTACCATGTACGTTTCAATATCTCAGTTTTCTTGTAATTTTGGTGGGAGTGTTAAAGTTGATTAGAGCGACACCGGTTAGGATCCCACAGTTTCCTTGTTTCGGCATCACTATTTTCTTTTGAATTTACTTAGTCTAAATGAGTCGTGAAACCCATTTAAACCGGGGAGATCTCGATAGCAACCGTGAGTTACATCCTCCGTGGGACTCCCGTAAATTCGAAAGAACGTATTATGTTTTATTTTTTTTGTTTTGAAAATGTTGTTTAATTTTGAAAAATCATTTTCTTTTGAAAGTGAGATTGTATTCAGTACCTGTATAATGTGTTAGAGCAAGAGTAATTACAATAAATAAACAACAACAAATAAAATGTATTTGCGTACGTGGCGTATCTGCTGCTGCTATTCCTGTTGCATGTTTAATTCATAAAACACAATATAATTTGCAGAGAATTTAAATAAATTGCAGAGAAAAGAAGAAAAAAAAAACAGTAAGCACTAGAATAAGTTGTAGCAACAACAAAGAACTCCAAATAGGTGATCCTATGGTTTCTTACAACTCCTGACTGCACTTAGCGAGCTAGTACTGTGATTCTACGACTCCCTACGGCTGCATGAAGCAACTAGCAAGTGTGTACGGTGATCCTACGACTTCGGACAACAGCTAGGAATTTTGAATGGTACCTGTATGGTTCCTATGAACCCAAATAGAAATGGGCAGCTCCTACACGGTTTCCTACAAACCCAAATAATGGTGGACAGTGCCTAGATGGCTTTTACGACACCGGGCAATGACTTTGGAGCCTTGGACAACACCCTACAACACTCCTATATTCCAAACAGTGGTTTTGGAGCCTTGGACAACACCTTACAACGTACCTGCACTCCAAATAGTGAATTTGGAGCTTTTGGACAACACCCTACAACACTTCTACTACACCGGGCAACGACTTGGAGCTTTGGGTAGTGATCCTACAGCTTTCTACGACATCGGGCAACGGTTAAGAGCATTGGACAGCACCCTACAACATTTCTATGACACCGGACAATGACTTGGAGCTTTGAGTAGTGGTCCTACAGCTTTCTATGACATCGGGCAGAGCTAGGAGCATTGGACAACACCCCACAACATTTCTATGACACCGGACAGCGGCTTGGAGCTTTGGGTAGTGGTCATACAGCTTTCTACGACATCGGGCAGCGGCTAGGAGCATTAGATAGTGGTCGTACAACTTCTCACAGCAAAAAACAACACTTTTACAATGACTAACGACAACTATCAATCACCGAACAACACTTTCAAGCCCCCCGAAACGGTAGTTTTCAAACATCTGAACGCTACCTACATTTCTTCCAAAACAACATGTAAACCAATCCCAAGAAGATGCATTTAAACATTCTCCAAACAATGTGTAGTATGCGGCGAAAGAATTCATTTATCACAGATGCACGTATTCGAGTTCCAAGTGTGGGGCGTGTGTAAAAAAAATTAAAGTTTGGGTGTTAGCATGTATGTGTGTGCGTGTGCGTGTGTGCGTGTGCGCGCGCGCGCGTGTGTCTATATATATATGTACATATACATATATATATATATATATATGTATATGTACATATATATATAGACACACGCGCGCGCGCGCACACGCACACACGCACACGCACACACATACATGCTAACACTGATAGAAGACATGAATAAATTCGTAAGTTACAGC